GTGGTGCCCAGAGTGGCCACCAGGGAAAGCTGGGGAGGGCTAGCCTCCCACTAGTTCGAATTAAGTGGCTACACAGCCCTTAATTCGAACTACTTAATTAGAACTAGGTGTTAGTCCTCGTGGAATGAGGTTTACCTAGTTCGAATTAAGCGCTCCGCTAGTTCGAATTAAGTTCGAACTAGCGGTTTGCCTGTGTAGCACCTATCAAAGTTAATTCGAACTAACATCTGTTAGTTCGAATTAACTTTGTAGTGTAGACATACCCTCAATCATTTCTTCGTGCACAACATTACCACAAATACACTGTCCCAATATACACAACTGATTAACATTACATATGTCGGTTGTCTTGTCCAAAGCAAACAAAAATAAATAGCTGTACTGAAATTTTGCATTTGTTTTTTGTCGATTTGAAGGTCCATTTTCACAGCTCTGTCATGAACTGGTTTTGCTGATAATGGCATATCTTGAATTTTCTATAAGATTTTGTCCTTGTTGTGAAACTCGTCAAATAGATCATGACCAATTTTTAGCATGCATCCCTTCATGTAATCCCTGTCAATGAAAAACTTCCCATCTTTAATAATGGTGTATGAGGTTGCAAAACTTATAGAGTTTAAGCTACCACCTTTTTTTGACCATGCCAGCAGGCTATTTTGCCCAATGTTTATTTTTTGCTGCAGCTCCTCACAGGCTGTTTTTCGTGCACCACTCTCAGGTTACTCTGTAACAAATGCTGCATGTTTTGTCATGAAATGCTGTTCTAAGTTTGATTTTTTTTGTTTGAGGACAGTCACACTACAAATGAGTCAGTGTGGAGATCCAGACCTATCCACAAATGCATACAAGTCTGTCTGTTCCCTTTGAAAATGTCAATACTCATCTTGCTTTCTCTTCACCATTTTTGCTATTAGGGGGCCACAGAGTTCACCATTACATATGATGATGGAAAGATTTCTCAACAATCAAATAAAAAGAGAATTTATATATGACCCCCAATGGATGGTTGCTAAAATAAACAGTTAAAGGTGAAATAGGCCACACATACACCAAAAAAAAAAACCCACCGACCACTTGACACATGTAATTATGTGTTCTTAAAATTCTGAATTAACTTTTCATTTTAATTTAAAAAGTTGTGTGTCATTTTGGAATGACAAAAGAGCCATATTTGGCTCTAGAGCCATAGGTTGCAGATCCCTGTACTAGAAGATTTACCCAGCATTGCTCAGGTCCTTCACTCAATTGATTTTTGTTTTGGAAAATACAGTGAAGGTGTACATGCTTCATTTAAACCAGCGTTTCCCAAACTATGGGCCGCGGCCCGGTACTGGGCTGCGGAACAAAAATACTGGGCCTCAGCGTGGCTGCTGGGAGGGGAGCAGAGTGGGGCAGGGTGGGAGGAGGTGGCTGGGAACCGGCTGCCCGGAAGCAGGGTTAAGGGCGGCGGGGCTGTCCCGCAGAGATCAGGACAGGTGGGCGGCGAAAGCAGGGTGGGGGGCAGCAGAGCTGTCCCGCGGAGATCCGAGCAGGGGGCCGGGCGCACAGCGAAAGCAGGGTTGGAGGTAGCAGGGCTGTCCCATGGAGATGGGGGGGCGGGCGGCAGAACCAGGGCTGGACAGGAGCCTGACTCCATCACAAGTCCAAATCCAAACCCATCACCTGAAATTGGATGACACCCCACAGGTAGATCTGAGTCCATTCCCTTACAGGGCCACTCCATAACTGACTCCCATTTACAATAAAACTCTGATGGTCCAGCATCCGATGGTCCGGCACCATCAGGAACCCGGAAGTGCTCTGGGCAGCCGGACCATTGGAGCTGCTCTGTCCCCAGTTTCCCCGATTCAGCCACTGCTAAAACTGACCAGCGGGCTTCAGGAGAGCTGCCAGCAACTGGTGCCCTAGGTGGAATGTGCGATCAGCGCCCCTGCCTCCATAGCCCTCAATGGCGTGACATCATCATTGGGCACCATGTTAAATGCGGCACCCTAGGCAACTGCCAAGGTTGCCTGTATACACGGGTCGCCCCGCCTGACACCCCATGGGTGAGAGGCTTAACATGCTACCACCACTCTTTTGAGCCCTCCAGAAAGAGCTTGATTTAATAATCAGAAATTATTTAAGCATTACATGTGAAGAGTTACAATTTTTCAAGTTTTTTTTTTAAAACCAGCTACAAGGTACAAGTGCTTTGAGCAGTTAAACAATTAACATTTCAAAGAGGCACATGAACAGTGAAACGTCTCTGGAGACTTGAAGGCTACAAGATAATGATGACCCTGTTTACTATCTGAATTAAGCCTTTGAAGCTACTGTACGTAGTGGTAACCATTCAAGATTATCATTTCAAAGAGGCTTGTGCAGCAGAGTTAAAATAAAACAATTCTGGGGGAAATGAGATGAACCTGAATATTCAGGTCTCCCCTCAGCTGAATAACTGAAGACTTGAGTGACATTGTTTTATTCTTTTTTGACATAAAGGCTTGGATTAAGAGAAGGTAATGGAATAGATTAGTTGTGTTCAAAGTTGTGGTTATCTGGCTAATGCTGTAGTTGACACAATTTGTATCGACTACGCAATTAGTTGATAAGGGCTACTCTACAGAGCTGCAGCAGAGGTAGCTGTAGGAGCTGGCTTGTGCCAGGCTCTTACTACATTTAAAATGCAGAGGCACAGCGTCCCAGACCAGTGTAAGCCGGGACTGCTAGGTCCTGGCTCACGCTGAATCCAGCATCCCCTGTCTACTGTGAACAGAGGCTGCTTCAGCACCAGCCCCTGTTCAGTGGCCTGGGTTAGCCACAACCCAGGGCTGTTGCCGGGGCAGCCCCCGCGTGCAGCCCCTCAGGCCGTCACAAACAGGAGCTGCTTGGCAGCAGCCCCTGTCGGGGTTGCCTCTGCCCATAGCGAGCCTCAGTGTGCTGCGGGTGGAGACTGCTTCACAGCAGCCTCTTCTTTCCCCCCGTTGCCTCTGATAGAGGCAGTGGGATGGGGGGAGGCAGCTTAAATGCCAGTTCCCCAGCACCAGCTCTTGTTTCCCCTTGCTGCTTCTCATAGAGACAGCATGGGCACCTGTGTGTGTGGGGGGGAAGGGGGGGAGAGTGAGTAGTCAATACTCCAGTTGACTAGTTGCTTACAACCCTAGTTCAGAATGGTCATAGGAATGGACAGCCAGAGTGGGATGAAGTAAGCTGTGCTCATCGCATCAGGAAGTTTTGATCCAAAATAACGAAGGGACTAAGATCATGGAGGGGCATGTGCTGTAGTTTTCAGCGCTAGATTTTTGCTTGTACTACTTACGCTGCTGACCCTGACATGTGGCCAGCCTTTAGTTCTCGGAGCATCAGAGTGTTTATCTTAGCAGTCTGAGGTGCATGAGCAGTAGAGCCATGAAACAGATACAGGAGAAATAGCCTTTTAGAGGTAAACATTAATGTGGATGAGTCACATATAGTATATCAAGGAATGCGAGAGGGACTGATACATTGAAAAGAGCCCTACATGAATATGACTTTTAGGTTTCAAATTATACATCCCTTCTTGCATGAAACATCCAAGCAATCATCTTTTTCTTAAAGATAGGTGAACTGGTTCTGATTCAAACACATGGAAGTGGATATTGGGGATGCTGGGGACTGTCAGAGAGTGGGAGAAGAGGGTCAGGCAAGTGGTAGGAATTCTCTACTGATGAGTCTAGGGATGTGAACGACTAGTCAACTATCCAATAAGTAAATGCTCATCGGATAGTTGACACACTAGTTGACTAGCCACTTCTCCCTTACACCTTGGTGCCTCCATCAGAAAGAGGGGGAAGAGGAGGTGGAGGGGGTGCTTCAAAGCAGCAGTGCTGCATGGAGCCTGGGGCCAAACCATGGGCCCACACGGGGTTGACACTTTCAAACGCCGTGTAGAGACCAGGGTCTGCCACTTTGAAGTGCTATGTGCATCCCGGGTTCCCAGCTGGCCCCAGTTTGCATGTGGTGTTTCAAAATGACAGCACCGTGTGGAGCCTGGGTTCAGCTGGGGATTCCCCCATTGACCCTAGGCTCCATGCGGTGCTGCTGCTTTGAAACACCACGTGGAGCCTGATGCTGTCCCCCACCCCCCGGCAGTGTTTCAAAGTGGCAGGGCCACATGGCAGTTGGGGTCAGCTGGGGACACAGAGTCCCCAACTGACCCCGGGCTCCATGCAGTGCTGCTGCTTTTGAAATGCCACAGGGCGCACAGGACAAATTGCATTAACTATTTGATTAGCTCATTAATCTAAAATTAACATCCTTAGATGGTTTTAGGAAGGTCATTCCAATGTGGGTGCTTCCTTAAGGGCTATGGGAGATGTTTTTGTTGCTTGATGCTCCCCTTTTGCCCTTCACATTCTTGCCATACCTCTAGAGCTGGTGTGTGTTTGTGGAAGGCATTAGGGGAATTGTGGCTGGTTTCCTGTTAGACATGAGGAAGGAGAACTTCTAGTGTGTGCCCTAACTAGATCTGCCATAAAGTCAGACTTCCTGATCTCCTAAGTTATGATTACCAACACAGAGCTCTGTAAGCCCAAGGCAGCTTCTAATGCACCTGGGGCCTGCCCTTTTCATTGGCAAGTGTGGTAGCATTGTTTGAACTGAGCCTGCATCTATTTCAGTTTAGAGCAAGTTCTTGCCTTAGCAATTGAATGTTTAAAGAGTTGCCCATGAGTGAGTCATCCAGCACCTGTCAACTCCAATAGTAAGCATGTCATTTCTTTCAGGTGGTTCCAACGCTACGGAACATGTGGACAAATTGTTACCAGGTTATCATCTCCTATGAGGACGTGACTGAAGTAATGACACACTGTGAACTATGGCCTGCAATTCCATATTGGTGGGGCAACAAGACTACAGCCCATGATCTTATCCAGTATCTGGAAAGTATGAAACAGAATGGGCGCCCAGGTACCTACCACATCTCACTTACAGGAACTAGCACCGGACTCAGAAACAATAAATGAGTAGAAACCCTAAACTTATTGCCAATGTATGCATTTGAGTGGGATCCATAAAGGTACTGAAGTGCCTAAGTCCCGGTTTTAG